CCCCAAAACCCCAAAACCCCAAAACCCCTTTAATAAACATTAAAATTGAAATTAATTTATTATGGAATCTTCCTCCACCTCCCAGGTATCCTTTCCCTACATCGACCTCTACCTCCACCACCTCCAAGCCTCCCTAGACCGTGACAAAATCCGATCCCAAATCTCTGACTCCGAGATCTACAGCCAAATCGACCAAAACCAACTACGAGCTACCATTGATAATGACTTCTATTACCAGAATAAAAAGAAAGAACTTGAAAAGAACCAAAAAGAACTTGGCAAGTGTAAGATGGGTGGGATAGTAGGGTTAGAAGGGAAGGAGTTTTGGAGGGGGTTGACAGGGTAAATTTGTGAAATTTTTTTACTCAGAAAGAATCTAAGTGTTGATATATGCTTTTCTATCAATGTAGCACTTCTTTATGCAATTAGGATCAATATTTAACTTTTGAATGATAAAGTTACTCATTCAATTAGCCCAATAAACTAATAGGACTACAAACTCTTTCAAATCGAAATGACTACTAAATGTTGCATTTTAACATTTCCTCGATGAGCAAATTCACTTTAATACACTTCGTAATATTTCGAAACTTCATTTCATGTTTTTGCAAAGCTTAAACTATTGTGAACCATTTAACTAAAATGTTTGAATTAACAATGCTTTATATTAACATAGTAAAAAACCAATATTTAAATATTTCAAAAACTGGATCTTGGTTTTGGAAGAAAAGTAAAGAAAAAAATCAAAAAATTTTTAAAAACAAGAATGATAATAAGATGGACGATCTTGAAATGTTGATTAAAATTAATAAAGAAGATGTTTCAGAAATTACTTCAAAAATCACTCAAACCTTCACAGACCAAATGTATCCAATAATCCTCTCAAACCTAATTGACCAAAAACTCCTAAAGCACCAAGAATTCATCAACTCAACCATCGAATCCAACCTCTACACTCTCACCTGCACCCAAAATCCCGAATCCTCCACTACAAAAATATCCTTCACTCCACTCACTTCAGAATTCGAAATTGACCTCATCAACAGTAGAGTGTCCTCTAAATTCGGCCTCTCAGAGCCCAAGTAAACATTCTTCTAATTAATTTTTTGAGCTTAGCTGCACTGGGTCATAACGAGTTTAGGAAACTGGAAGAGATTAAAGAGTGGGATTTTGAAGAGGCTGAGATTGCGCTGGAGGCTGAAGGAAAGAAAGAGACGGAGAGTTTTATTGAGAACACGGGAATTGATCATTTTCGAGAGGTAGTTGAGTGTTTAGATGTGGAGAATTTGGATACGATTGTGTTCAAGAATTTTTGGTTAAAGAAAGGACATTTGAAGAAGATAGTTGAGATAGTGGTTGATATGAAGACTGAAAGACTTGTTTTTAATAATTGAAGGTTCAAGATGTCTAAAATATCAGAGATTAAGTCTTGATTTAATGAAGAAAATAAAGGTCCGAGGCTTGACAAATCTGGGCATATAGAAAGTAAAGAAAATATTGAAAAAGAAGAAAAGAAAACAACTAACAAAAAGAAATACAATTCTACAAAGAAAAGAGCTCTTTACAGTCTTTCTTTTATTGATTGACAAATTTCATCTTTCCCAATTGAAAGTTATAAACACATAAATAATACGAAACAAAACTCTGCAAATAAAACCTTTCAAACTGGCACTTATAAATGCCCACACCCTCCAGAACTCAATAAAAAACACCCCATAGTAACCATAATCCTCTCCATAATCAGCCAAATCGACTCTTTAAAACCCTTCTACAAAGACAGAACCCTGGTCTCCCTCACCCTCAAGAACCTATACCTCCCAGAATCCTCTATCAGTAAGCCTTCCCTCACATCCTAGCCGCCATCCAAGACGCCTGTCCTTTCCTCGAAACGTTCATTGTGTTCGACGAGCCGCAAGAATCCTAGTAAAAGTAGTAAATAAAGTAGTTCCAATAAGCCCATTCTTTACTGGGGTTTTGGGGTTTTGGGGTTTTGGGG